TATAGACAAGGTGGTGTGACGTCCTACAGCTGTGCTGTCCAGTACAGCTGCTGCTAGCTACATGTGGCTATTTAACTTTAAATTAAAATTAATTAAAATTAAATGTAACTAAAAAGTAAGTTCCTAGGGCTGGTACAGTGGCTCATGCCTATAATCCTAGCGCTTTGGGAAGCCTAGGCTGGGAGATTTCTCTTGAGATCTTTGAAAACCTGCCTGGGCAATATAATGAGACCCTATCTCTACAAAAATTCTTTTAAAAATTTCTTTAAATTTTTAAATTTAAGCTACTCCTAGCTACTCAGAAGGCTGAGGTGGGAGGATTGCTTGAATCCAGGAGTTCAAGGCTGCAGTGAGCTATGATTATGCCACTGCACTGCAGCTTGGGCAACAGAGAACAAGACCTGTGTCAAAAAAAAAAAAAAAACTGAGTTTCTCTGTCACACTAGTTTCATTTTATGTGTGCAATGACCACCATATTGTGGGGACTGTATTGGTAAGAGATAGAGACTATTATCACTGAAAGTTCTATGGCTGCCCCAGAAAGAACACAACACACATTTAGCAACAGACGGACTCTATCTTTTCAATTCACCTTAATCTTTTATCTTTTACTAGACTTGTGACCATGGGAAGTTTCTTAAACTTTCCAAGTTTCAGATAGTCAAATTATAAAATAGAAATACAGCCGATGGCTCATGCCTGTAATCCCAGCATTTTGGGAGGCCGAGACGGGTGGCTCACCTGAGATCAGGAGTTCGAGACCAGTCTGACTAACTTGGTGAAACCCCATCTCTACTAAAAATGCAAAATTAGCCAGGTGTGGTGGTGCATACCTGTAATCCCAGCTACTCGGGAGGCTGAGGCAGGAGAATCACTTGAACCTGGGTGGCAGAGGTTGCAGTGAGCCATTGCACTCCAACCTGGGAAACAAGAGGGAAACTCTTGTCTCAAAAAAAAAAAAAAAAAAAATTAGCCAGGTATGATGGCAGGCTCCTGCAGTCTCAGCTACTTAGGAGGCTGAGGCAGGAGAATTGTTTGAACACAGAAGGAAGCAGTTGCAGTGAGCTGAGATGGCGCCACTGCACTCCAGCCTGGGTGACAGAACGAGACTCTGTCTCAAAAAAAGAAAAAGAAAGAAATACAAATATACCTACACCTGTGTGGTGGTAGTCAGTATAATGCCCAACACACTTTAGTTGCTTAATAAAATGATTATGATTAGTGCTTAGGGATCAAAAATTTCCTTTTTGATCAAAAATAGAAAACCTTTTGAGGCCAGGTGCAGTGGCTAAAGCCTGTAATCCTAGCACTTAGGGAGGCCGAGGCAGGCAGATCACCTGTGGTTGGGAGTTCAGGGCCAGCCTGGCCAACATGGTGAAAATCTATCTCTACTAAAAATACAAAAATTAGCTGGATGTGGTGGTGCATGCCTGTAATCCCAGCTACTCAGGAGGCTGAGGCATGAGAATCACTTGAACCCAGGAGGCGAATCAGTGAGCCAGGATCACACCACTGCACTCCAGCCTGGGTGACAGAGCAAGATTTCAGGTCTAAAAAAAAAAAAAAGAAGCTTTTGAGATTAAAATTAGATATCAATATTTTCTTCATAATTTGAGTACTCAATAAACCTTGTGGACTATCAAAAAGTTAAATTAAAAATGTCATAAAATGCTTACACATTTTTGTTCCTTCTCTAGGAGAAAAACAACTTGAATTGTCCTGGAAAAACCTTAGATTCAGGTAGCTGTTTAAACTCATAAATTGACCCAGAAGATTTCTGATTCCCAAACCATCACTTACATTTAATTCAGGAACATGTTCAGCAAATGTTTGTGTTTGTACAAGAAGTCTCTCAGCAATCTTAGTTTGACTTGAAGAGCAATGAGGCAAAATTCACATCTTCCTACCCTACTTTAGCTTGGAGATAAAACACAAACAAATTATACATCCCAGTAATTGCAAAAGTACTTCAACTTATCTGGCATCTCTCTAGCCCCACCCACTCTTCCCCTTTTCATCTCAATATGGAACTTGGTGTAATAGCATCTGAAGTTGAGAGACAGAGCTGTGGATAATGTGCCCACAGAGCTTAATCTTGCCAGTCTCACAGAGGGACACATTACAGTTAGGAATGTTTGCAACCAGAGTCAGGATAAGTGCAGATTCATCAAACAATTGTTTATCAGCCACAATTACACAATACAACTAAAACAAAAATAACTTTGAGAAGCTATGAGTAACCTACAACTCATCATGATATGAAACTCAAATTGCTAATGCCACATTTGGATGGTCAAGTTTTTTCAAGCTTCTCCTGCTCCCCCTGCCCCCCAAAATAGAAGCAAGATTATGCAATGAGAAGATAAAGGAGATAGAAGTCAATGCTCCATCCTTACTATTCAAAGCTAGATTGCAAAATATACTAATCCAAGAAACCTTTAGCTTGCCTCCTCCCTATAGCTTTAGTTGAGCTTTATGTAGGGTTTCTTTCATACAAAGAAGCACAAATAAAGGGAGTTACTTATCTTGGAAGACTACAGCTCAGTAACTGATGGGAACATGCAGAGGCAGGTGAAAACACACAGAAGAATAATATAAGAATGTTTTCTGATGCACAATATGAGCAAATACAGTTCTAGTCACTCTCTCTCTTTCTCTCTGCCAAGCAAAAAATATGAACCAAGCCAACCCCTGCCATCTAAAATGGTCATTTTTGAAAAAAGTCTTTATTAGCAATCATTTGTTTTCTGTAGAAATGGGAATAATAATACCTAGCATTCATTGAGCATTTAATATATTTGAAGCACTATTCTAAGTGATTCACATGTATTAACAACAGCCCTATGTGGTAGGTAGAGAATATCATCTTTCATTTTATGCCAATGCACAGAGAGCATCAATGAATACATCAAGACACAGAGAGGTTAAAAAACTTGCCCAGGGTCACCCAACTAATAAGTGTTGGAGCCAGAATCTGAGCTTGGGCAATCTGGATCCATTTTACACTTGTGTCTCTGTTGGCAGTTGAAACAAAGATGCACTTACATGGACACTGATTCCTTGCTACACACAAACCTGTGACCATACATCGAGACTAACATCCTATAGTTTATGGTTACGTGTAGAAACCAAATTAAATGAGGAACCCGAACATTTGATTGGAACCTATTACCGTCATCAAAACCCACTTCTCCTTGTTTTCATAATTCCCAGTGGGGAGCCAGTAATTTTGAAAAGTCAAGAGTGTGAGTAATTTTGAAAAGTCATGAGGTGAGTCCTAATGACAACATTACTTTAGCTCCAAATCATAGCACACCTGAAGTAGGAACCACCCATCAATTTTTCTTTTTTTTAGTTATGTGGCTAAGTAAATTCCCCTTTTAAATTAGCTGCTTGAGTTTCAACTGAAAGACTCATAACAGATACACCCCCTTCTCAAGCCACTGCCATCTCCACCCCCACAAGTGTCTCACGGGTGGGACCATGACCTCAGCCAGTCTATTTATTCAGAGTGAATCTCAGGGATTTTGTAGGAATGGCTAGAAAAGAAGCTCTCTTTCTATTATACTTGAACGTGGAAAGACATGAGCCTGGAGATATTGCATCAACTAAGGCTGCTGGAGTCCGCCACATAGAGCTGGGGTAATAGCCCATCCAAGGTGAAGTGGAGTTAAGAGAAGTGGAGACACTGGACCCTGTGGGCACCATTTGAATCCTGAACCTTTTCAGTGTCTCAAGCCACACAACCTCCAGCTATCGATTTCTGTCTTACAAAAACCCTGAATGTAGTGGCCTAAAACAACAAAGATTTATGATTTCTCCTGGCTTGGCAATCTGAGTGATTGGATTTACTAGTCAGCTTTACCACAGTAACAAATGACTTCCTAAATCCCAGGGGTTGTAACAACCAATGTTCCTCACTCTGCTGTTACTCATCTGCCATCGTATCAGTGAAGGCTCTGCTTCTGCTCCATGTGTTTTCACATTCAGGGACCAAGGCTGCAGGAGGAGCCCCCATTCAAGCAAGACCTGTCATCCCTGTGGCAGAATGAAAAGAGCAAAATACCCAATGGCCCTTTAAAACCTCAGTTCAAATATGGTGTATGTTGTGTCCTTCGATAGCCCGTTGACCAAAGCAAATCCCTGGCTTTGAGGACTCCTTCTAGCTGTCTGGGTGAATTAGGTTAGCACTCAAGGCCCTTTGTGAGAGGTTAAGATAAGGAGATATGCACATACAGAGAAAAAGAGAGACTGAGACAAAGAAGGAGAATTTCTATATATTTCTACCTATGTGGTATGTGTATAACATTCTTTTTTTTTTTTTTTTTTTTTTTGAGACAGTGTCACTCTGTTGCCCAGGCTGGAGGGCAGTGGTGCGATCTCGACTCACTGCAACTTCCACCTCCTAGTTTCAAGTGATTCTCCTGCCTCAGCCTCCCAAGTAGCCTCCCAAGTAGCTGCAACACCATGCCCAGTTAATTTTTATATTTTTAGTAGAGACTGGGTTTTACCATGTTGGCCAGGTTGGCCTCGAATTCCTGATCTGAAATGATCCCCCTGCCTCAGTGTCCCTAAATGCTGGGATTACAGGTGTGAGCCACCATGCCCAGTCAGTGTATAACATTCTTAAGGCAACTTCATTTCTGTGTGGAAGATTGAAGGTCAGTCCCAACCTGAGATCTGGAACCAGATCTTTTCTAGTCAGGGAGAATTCAGGAAGCCATGTTCCAAAACAATAAGTCAGACTTCTGTTGAGCTGCTCTGATTTCAGGCCTTTGTTCTGCTAACTGGGATCCAGCCTTTTGCTCCATCTGCAGAGTCCCTTGGTAAGAGGTTAAGTAGCAGAGCTGCCCGTCCACTGAGGCTGCTGCCAATTGCTGCTCAGTCTCCTTCAGCCTTGGTCACAAGCTTCTTCTCAAGGACAACTACAGGGTACAGTCCCACCCACGAGCATCTAATTTCTACCTCTTTTCTGCCTACCAGTCAGGGGCTAAGATAATACTGATAATATAGTAATAACAGCATCTATCGTTTATTGCATATGGTCTCAAATTCTCATGTATCCCAGAAGTGCAGCTATTTCCAGCTGGGCACCATTCTTGATATAGATCTCAATTCTTCTTCAAGTCCCCCAGATGAATCCATGAACACCAAAAGTATTCATAAGCCATGTGGAATTGACTCAGGCTTCCCCAAAGGAGTGGAGTAGAGATTTATAGCGCTCCCCTCAACAGAAGCAACTTTTCTCTTTTCCTTTTCTTCTGTGTTACCACCAAGTCTTCTCCTTCTCCTCATACCCTCCAAGCTTAGCCTTCTCAACTGTATGCTGAATGCATACTAAAGTAACAGGTAATGGAATATGTAACTACATAAAGCTTAAACAATAAGGTTTATTATCTCTGGGGGTATAATTTTCAGACTTAGTTAATTAAGGGACACAACAATATCATCAAGCACCCAACCTATGTGCTTTCGTTTCTACTTTCCTTCATGTCATCCCCAGTCTGTTGGTTTTCATCCTCAGAGTTTCCCTCATGGTCTCAAGAAGGCTGCCATAGCTCCAGGAACTATGTCCACACATAACTACATCTGCCTTCTGACATCATAAAGGAAAAACTTGCACAGAAACATCTCAGAAAACTGACCTTTAAACTCCTCCACCAGGGTTGGGTTACATGCTCAGGCCCTAATAGTAAAAGTTATTCAGCTTAGATGGCAGAATCACTTGAATCCAGGAGGCAGAGGCAGGAGAATCACTTGAACCTGGGAGACGGAGGTTGTAGTGAGCCAAGATTGTGCCATTACACTCTAGCGTGGGCAGCAGAGTAAGACTCTGTCTCAAAAAAAAAAAAAAAAAAAAATTATTCAGGTTGAGTATCGCAAAATGCTTGGGACCAGAAGTGTTTCAGATTTCAGATTTTTTTCTCCATTTAAAAATATTTGCTTTATACTTACCAGTTGAGCATCCCTAATCCAAAAACCTAAAACCTGTATGTTCTGATGATCATTTCCTTTGAGTACCATGTTGGCACTCAATAAATTTTGGATTTTGAGGCATTTTGGATTTCAGATTTTCAGATTAGGGATGTTCAACCTTTATTGGCATTTTTAGTCTCTGGAGTTGGAAAGTGGATTCTGACAGCAGGGATGAAAGGTAATAGAGAATGGCTGTTGGGAAGAAAACTATCAGACTCAGCCACCCTGAGTAGCTTGGTGTCCTACTCACCTGTGTGCTTTGCAAATGCAATGCCCAACTATGACTAGGCCATACTCTTAAAGCCTGGGTAAGACCCATCTAATATTACTCAGGAAGGCCCTTTAGAGTCCCACCCCTGCCTCAACCCTAGCAAGGTTATCAAAGCCAGGGGTATCAAAACTCTTTCCTTAGAGGAGTTTTACTCATCTTTCTACCTTTACTGCTTCTCCACATGCACAGCAGTTCTGCAGTCCGAGAATTATCCCATTTTCAGATAAGGAACTGAGTAACAGAGAATTTAAGTGACTCACTAAGAGTCAGATAACTACCAAATGGTAGATTAATATCTGAACCCAGGGCTGTCTGGTTCCAATGTCCTTGCCGTCAATGAAAGCAAAACAAAGACCCCAAATGAAAAAGCAAAGAAGACAGACTAGACTTAAATTTTACCAGAAGAGTAAATATCTTCTTGGTCCTTTAGTAACTGAAAACCATTACAAGGTTCTATGGAGGAATGTAATTTCTGTCCTTGGTTATCTGGAAAAGATAAAACAGAGCAATGCTTTCAGTACTTGGCCGAGGACAAGGAGGCATTTTAAAGTGTCGGAATGATTGAACACAAGCCATACTGCTGAGTTCTGGACGCCCAACCCTTTAAATGGGGCCTGGGGAGACATTTACTGAAGTCCTGGCCCCTGCTCCAAGAAAGGGGGTCCTAGGCCAAGAAACTGGGTAAACAGATATTTTTGCCACGGTGTGGTAAGTGATATTATGGAACTATGAACAGGGTTGTTAGTGTGGGGGTGGGGAGGGGGCGGGGAAGGTGGACAGTAGAAAAACCCCTGACTGAGGTCATCCCTGTGTTCCAGGACAGTGCAGTCACTCGTTGCAAAACAGGGGCCTTGAGTCATGAGGAAAGAGCTAAAATGAATTCAGTAGACACCATTAAACAAGGCAGGGAATGGGAGATGTCTTGGAAAGATTTCCTTCTGATATGACGGTTTACAGGAAAACATTTTAGCAATTTTTTTTTTTGAGATGAAGTTTCACTCTTGTTGCTTAGGCTGGAGTACAATGGCATGATCTCTGCTCATCGCAGTCTCTACCTCCTGGGTTCAAGCAGTTCTCCTGCCTCAGCCTCCCAGGTGGTTGGGCTTACAGGCAAGCACCACCATGTCTGGCTATTTTTTTTTTTTTTTTTTGTATTTTTAGTAGAAATGGGGTTTCTCCATGTTGGTCAGGCTGGTCTTGAACTCCCAACCTCAGGTGATCTGCCCACTTTGACCTCCCCATCGTGCCTGGCCCACATTTTAGCAGTTCTGAATGTAAATTTCAGGGGTTTGTTTGTTTTTAAGTTTGATTTATGGAGCATTTCACAGGGCTTTATAAGGGTTATTTTTTATTTCATGTAAAATAGTAAGTAATTTGCATATACTATCTCATTTAAAGCTTAAAATAATCCTGTGAAGTTGATAGTTCTATTTTCCCACTCAAAAAACATTATTTTTTTCGTCAGGGAGCAGTAACTCTTGCTTATAATCCCAGCACTTTGGGAGGCCTAGAAGAAAGATAGCTTAAGTCCAGGAGTTTGAACCAACTTGGGCACCATAGTGAGACCCCATCTCTATTAAAAAAAATAATAATAATAAGCCAGGTCTGGTGGCTCATGCCTGTAATCCCAGCACTTTGGGAGGCCAAGGCAGGTGGATCACCTGAGGTCAGGAGTTCGAGATCAGCCTGACCAACATGGAGAAATCCTGTCTCTACTAAAAATACAAAAAAATTAGCTGGGTGTGGTGGGGCATGCTTGTAATCCCAGCTACTCGGGAGGCTGAGGCAGGAGAATTGCTTGAACCTGGGAGGCGGAGGTTGCAGTGAGCCGAGATTATGCCACTGCACTCTAGCCTGGGTGACAGAGCAAGATGCCGTCTAAAAAAAAAAAAAAAAGAGATAATGGTCAATGCTGTATTCTCATCTATTTCTATAACAAAGCATTAAGAAATTCAGCAGTTAAGGAGAAAAGTGTGTCACCCTGTATTTTCTATAGCTTGGGCAAATTGACAGATGTGCTACAAAATGGAAGCAATTAAACAACGTTCGATACAGACCCTTACTGCTCAAAGAGTTACTCATCCCCTGGTTGCTTGTTAGAAATGCAGATTCTTGGGTCCCTCCCCAGACCTACTGAATCATTTGAATAGGAACCGCAGTTGATTTGCATGCACATGAAATCTGAGGGGCTTGCTGCTCTGCATAGATACCTTCCTCTGCCATTGTTTCTTCCATTGTGAATAATGTCTTATGAGCCCATGAAAAGCAAGCACATGAATAGGTCATGTTGTGGGCTGCAAAAGACAAATTTGATATCAAAGCAACATTTGCTATCTTTTTAACTGAGTTTAACTTTAACTCACTCTAATAACTTCTTTTGAATAGATTTTTAGGAGAATCTGTGGTCATACAAGAGGAGAGGGAAGATAATGGGGAAAAAGAAGTCAGCAGGAAGGAAAAGGAGGGTGTTTTCTCCAATGGCACAGACCAATCATATGACACCCTTAATGAGTTATCAAATTTCTGCAGGGGTCAGATGTGAAGCCCATTACCTGACATGCCCGCTGGGTGGTCTGGACTTTGAACAATGGCTCCTCCCATCTGGAACCCTCTGCTATTTTACAAATGTTTCAATAGCTCTGCTGAAAGCAAGGAAACAACAGCTGGTGAATAATCTCATTTTATATTAATAGAGCATCGCTGACCCATCCAGGTCCCTCAATACTTTATGAAACAGAAGATCCTTTCTTTCCCAGGGCAAGGAAGGGAAGTTTCAGCCATACCACATTACAACGTGAGTAGAAGCACCGCAGGAGAATGAGCAGAAAGAATTTTTTTTTTTTTTGCAAACCCACTTCATTGGACTTTTTCAGATGAGGATTAAATTAGGCTAAGGGAGGATGGAAGAGAATATCTGCATTAAATCCCTGGACTTTACCTATGCAAATAAATAACCAGAAAGTAAGAAGATTCTTGCCCCAGCCTTGCCTCTGTCTTCTGTATGTGCAGCTCTTTCCGTGAAATCAAGGTAGAGATGTCAAAGTTAAGTGACAACCTGAGAGATAAATGTGGGCTATTTTTAATACCAGGGCTAGCTGGTGGTTTAATGTTAGTGGAGTCAAATAAAGCAGAATGTGACAACACTACCAGTTAATGAGTGTTTGTTCCTGTGCCAGTAGCATTTTGAACACTGTAGAGAATTGCAAAGAAATAAGGAATAATCTGTGATTTCAAGGAATTTCATTTGGCTGGAGGGTTTCCTCAAGACAAACGACTAGAAGCAGGGATGTAAAATATAAACTGAAAGATGGATACCTTAGCCAATTATACCATCACTAACACACAGAAAATGAAGATTTTAAAAAATAAAAAAAATTTTTTTGAGGTGGAGTCTCACTGTCACCAGGCTGGAGTGCAGTGGTGCGATCTCAGCTCATTGCAACCTCTGCCTGCTAGGTTTAAGTGATTCTCCTGCCTCGGCCTCCTGAGAAGCTGGGACTACAGGTGTGCATCACGATGCCCAGCTGATTTTTGTATTTTTAGTAGAGATGGGGTTTCACCATGTTGGCCAGGATGGTCTCGATCTCTTGACCTTGTGATCCGCCCGCCTCAGCCTCCCAAAGGCTGGGATAACAGGCATGAGCCACCTCACCTGGCCTTTTTTTTTGAGACGGAGTCTCATTCTGTTGCCAGGCTGGAGAGCAGTCTTGGCTCACTGCAGCCTCCACCTTTTAGGTTCAAGTGATTCTCCTGCCTCAGCCTCCCAAGTAGCTGGGATTACAGGCATGAGCCACCACACCCTGCTAATTTTTGTATTTTTAATAGAGACAGGGTTTTACCATATTGGCCAAGATGGTTTTGATTTCTTGACCTCATGATCTGCCCACCTTGGCCTCCCAAAGTGCTGGAATTACAGGTGTGAGCCATCATGCCCAGCCGATTAAAATGTTTTGATTAAGTAACATTTCTAGAGATTCTGTCAAGACTTTTAAAAAAATTCCTGGAGAAAAGTAATTCTTTAACATTTATGAAAGTTCATTTGGGTATTCCTGCTCCAGTTCTCTCAGTGTGGAATAGATGGAAAGCTGCCAGAAGGGAGTGGTTATATGCCTGGGGAGGAAGCTGGACCAGGAATAGAGACTGGCTAATGAGAGGTGGGGAGAATGGCAGAAACTTCTTAAAACAGTAGTTCCTAACCTTTGCCTTTTGTTTGGATCAAGAACTCCGTGGTAGTTAACTTTATGTCTCAATTTGGCTAAGTGACAATGCCCAGATGTATATGGTCAAACATTATTCAGGACATTTCTGTGAGGGTGTTTTTGGGAGAGATTAAGTTTTCAATCGGTGGACTCTGAGTATAGCAGATGGCCCTTCCTAATGTGGATGGGTCTCATTGAATCCACTAAAAGCCTGAAAAAAACAAAAGACTGACTACCCCTGAGCAAGAGGGGATTCTCCGGCCTCACAGCCTTCAGACCTTAACCGCAGCCTAGGCTCTTCCTTGTCACCAGACTGCCAGCCCACCCTGCAGGTTTGGGACTTGCTAACCTCCACAGTCATGTGACCCAATTCTTTAAAATAAGTCTATTTATAATCACATCCTATTAGTTCTGTTTCTCTGGAGAACCCTGACTAACACAGACCCTTTCGTGAGTTTTTAGAAGGAATATTTATTGAATGTCTTCTATGTGCCCAACTATGGATCCTCTTCCTAGAAAATCGCACACGAATACAAAATTTTACATATGGTTTTCAGGGAATCATCAAATCTTTGAAGCACATCCATGGACTCCTTTCCTTCATTTAAAAACACCTGCGCTGGCTGGGTGCAGTGGCTTATGCCTGTAATCCCAGCACTCTGGGAGTCTGAGGCTGGTGAATCACCTGAAGCCGGGGGTTCGAGACCAGCCTGACCAACGTGGAGAAACCATATCTCTACTAAAAATACAAAATTAGCTGGGCATGGTGGTGCATGTCTGTACTCCAGAGCTTAAGGCAGGAGAATTGCTTGAATTCAGGAGTCAGGGGTTGCAGTGAGCCGAGATTGCACCACTGCACTCCGGCCTTGGCAACAAGAGCAAAACTCCGTCTCAAAAAATAAAACTAAAAACCCTGGGCCTCCAGCTCTTTATATAAAGGAGACATAGCTGAATATTTCCCCATCCAAACATTCCTGCTCTGAAAGCAGTTTCCACCTGGTGGGTGAAGTGAGGAGTCTACTTGCACAGAGTTATCAAAGGACCAGGAAGGCATTGGGCCACAAACCTCCCTCTCCCTTGCCCTCTCTGGGATGCTGGAATTTCTACGTTAGCATCAGCACTTTGGGGTGGACGTTTGTTCACTTAACTAGAATAATGCACTGTTACTACTCATAACACGGGTGTGGCTGAGACTAGCTGGTTATTCTGAAGCTAAAACATCAGCCCTGCCTTCCTTGACATTCTCCTTATCTCCCTGTCCTTGCTGATGGACTGAGTGAAGGTGATGTGTGTCACCTTCAGTCAGAGGCCATTCAGATGGGGATGCCTTTCATGCAGATTCAGTGAAGGACTTCTCTGAGGTATTGACAGAGGCCCCAGAGGGCCAAGGGGCCAGATCCTCTTTCTCCTGCACTCCACACTGGACTGTGACACAAGCAAAAGATCAACCTTCGTTTGTGTTATTTATGTTAAATGACTGATATCTGGACCTTGTCAGCTTATCCTGACTAATGCACACAGGAATTTTACCATTAGGAGAAAGATATTAGTTGAAACATTAGACAAATACCAACTTTAAAACTCTAATATGATCTAGGCCAGGCACAGTGGCTCATGCCTGTAATCCCAGCTTTCTTGGCTGGGCACGGTGGCTCATGCCTGTAACTCCAGCACTTTGGGAGGCCGAGGTGGGTGGATCAGGAGTTCAAGACCAGCCTGGCCAACATGGTGAAATCCCATCAAAACTAAAAATACAAAAATTAGCCAGATGTGGTGGCACAAGCCTGTATTCCCAGCTTCTTAGGAGGCTGAGGCTGAAGAATCACTTGAACCTGAGAGATGGAGGTTGCAGTGAGCCAAGATCATGCCACTGCACTCCAGCTTGGGTGACAGAGCACAACTCCATCTCAAAAAAAAAAAAGGAAAAGAAAACCTTTCTTTATGATGCTGCCTATGTATGTGATTGGCTCCCCCTGCACTCACTTTTTATTTATTTATCTTTTTTGAGATGAGGTCTTACTTTGTTGCCCACTGGAGTGCAGTGGCATGATCTCAGCTGACTGCTACCTCTGCCTCCTCAGCTCAAGTCAGACTTCCGGGTAGTTGGGACTACAGGCCCATACCACCACACCTGGCTAATTTTTTTTCTTTTGGTAGAAACCGGGTTTCCTCATGTTGCCCAGGCTAATTTCAAACGCTTGAGGGCAAGTGATCCGCTAGCCTCGGTCTCCCAAAGTGCCGAGATTACAGTCTTGAGCCACTGCACCTAGCCACCCTCACACCCACTTTTAAAAAACTTTATGGCCGGGTGTAGTAGCTCACGCCTGTAATCCAAGCACTTTGGAGGCCAAGGTGGACGGATCACCTGAGGTCGGGAGTTCAAGACCAGCCTGACCAACATGGTGAAACCCCGTCTTTTTATTAAAAAAAAAAAAACTTTATATTACAGAACATTTCAAAGATATACGAAAAAGGGAAAGTAATGTAATGGACCATCATTAGGCTTCAACAATTATCAATGTGTGGAAATTCCATTTCATCTGTTTCTCCCTATCCCTTATTCCCTGTTTTCTACCATTTCACTGGATTATTTTGAGATGCATCCCAGACTTCATATCATTTCATTCACACATATTTTAGTATGTAGCTCCAAAAAGAGGATTGTTTTTTGAAAAAAACATAACCCTGATGTTCTTATCACACCTAAAAAACTTCCTTAATATTGGCAAATATTCAGAATTCAAATGTCTCCAATTTTTTCATAATTTTTTTTTTTACAATTAGATTAAATAAGTATACAAACTTGATCCACACCTGCAGTTGGCTAATATGTCTAGTGGCTCTCTTTTCATTTACAAGCTGCCCTGCCTTCTTTTATTTTCTTCTAATTTATTTGTTGGAGAAACTGGGTCATTTGTCCTGTTGAGTTTCCCACATTCTGAATTTTGCTGATTGCATCCCCATGGTGTCATTCAACCTGTTTTCCTAAGCCCCCTATTTCCCGAAAAGTGTCTGTTAGATCTACAGCCTTGATCAATTCCTGCTTGATATTTTGGCAAGGTTATTTCAAAGGTGATGTTGTGAGTTTCCCGTTGAATCTCATCAGGGGCACATGTCTGCTTCTATCCCATTTTTGTAATGTCAAGATTAATTAGGGGGTTCAGGTATTGCCAGCTCAATCCACCCATTAGAGAGTTCCCCATCAGCATTTCCCCTAATAGTTTTAACAGCCATTGGTGATCTGTGCTTGGATACATTTTTTCTATGATTGCAAAATTATGGTATTCTAATTCTATCATTCCTCATTCATCTATTAGCTGAAATGCTTCTAAGAGAAGACCTTTCCCTCAACAACAATTTAGTTACCCTGAAATACAGTTCATATACAAAAGACAAATGCTCGATTCTTTCCCTTTTTAAACCAGTTTTCAGAGTAATGAGTT